CTCTGGGGCGCAAGAGAGGGTCTGACCTGATGCCTCCTCATGTTTTTCAGATACGCTCACATGTGCATTTTAGAGACCTCTGCCAGCGCACTGAGGCCAATGAATGCTGCCCGAGCTGGTCCCTGGGGAACTACATTGCTGTCCTGTACAACAGGTCTTCATGTCTGGAGATAACCCAAGGAGACATCTCCCACACCCTGGCCCTGCTCCGTGCCTGTGCTCCAGACTACCACCGAGGTGTCCTCACTCCATCCTGCATAGGCCCTGAAGCTGTCAGACAGAAACACTCTCAGTGCGCCCAAGTCCCAGAAAAATGTACCCGCTTCAATGCCATCTATCAACTGCTTCACTTCTTGGTCGACAGGGACTTCCTCAGTCCCCAGACAATGGAGTACCAAGTGCCCTCTCTCAAGTACAGCCTGCTTTTCCTGCCTACAAGAAAAGGTGCATCTATGATGGGGATCTACTTAGACAACCTCGAAACCTGGGATCTGTTTGATAACTACACATCTATTACTGGAATGGATCTGGGCCTTAAACAGAAACTGTTCCATCACTACCTTTTACTGGATACTAAGTATCCAGTCCTGGCAATATTAGCTATTTTTCTAAGCATTTCTTTTTATTTACGCTCAGTCTTCATTACCTTGATGGTCCTGCTTGCTGTTGTCAGTTCTTTGATGATCTCCTACTTCTTGTACAAGGTGGCCTTCAGATTCACCTATTTCCCTTTTGTAAACCTGACWGCAGTCATCATTCTCAGCAGCATTTGTGCCAACCACACTTTTGTCTTCTTCGACCTGTGGAACCTCAGCAAGAGGCAGAACCCTTCCRCTGGGCTTGCTCAGTGGGTGAGTCAAACCATGCACCATTTTGCGTATCTCGTGTTGGTCTCGTGCTTCACAACAGGCGCTGCCTTCTACGCCAGCTATATCAGCACCATCACAGCCATCCGCTGCTTCGCCGTCTACATGGGCACCTCAGTGCTGGTGAACCTGGTTTTCATGATGACCTGGCTGCCCTCTTCTGCTGTGCTATACGAGCGCTACATTGCAACAACCTGCGTTTACAAGCCAGAAGCCTACTGGAACAACAGCAGCCACAAGAGAGCCGCACTCTCCATCCATTACATCCTCCGGGCTCTCCAGAACACACTGTCTGAAACCTCCAAGCTGCTCTTTGAAAAGATTCTGCCTTGTGGGGTCATCAAGTTTCGGTACATCTGGATCTGCTGGTTTGCTGCCTTAGCCATAGGAGGTGCCTACATTTCCTGTTCCAACCCCAAACTCAAACTCCCAACTCTGGAGACGTCATCTGTCCAAGTGTTCAGGCTGAGCCACCCCTTTGAGAGGTACGATTCYGAGTACTGCCACCAGTTCATGTTTGAGAGGCTGGAGCACGGAGAAGGGCAACGTATGCCTGTCACAATAGTCTGGGGCATTCTGCCTGTGGATAATGGGGACCATTTTAATCCAAAAAGCAATGGCACTCTAGTGACAGACACCACCTTCACCATCCAAAATCCTGATGCCCAGAAGTGGCTCCTTGAATTCTGCCAAAAAGTGAAGAACAAAACTTTCTATTACCCTGATGCAGAGCAGAAATCTACTGTGTGCTTCATGGAGGAGTTCCTCAGGTGGATGGACAGTCGACAGTGCTCTCAGCGAGACCACAGCTTCAACCTCTGCTGTAACCAGTTCTCCTTCCCTTACAGAAGTGAAGTCTTCCTGCACTGCATTAAAATGATGCTCCTGGAAGAGGGCAGGGAAGGGACAGAAATGTACGATCTGGGCCTCAGGTTTGATGGGGAGGGAAATGTTGCTGCCTTAGTACTGCAGTTTCAAACTATTTATCACTATAGCTTCAACTACAGCAAAGCCAAACAGTTCTATGATGAAATCAGCCTCTGGATAACAGAGGAAATGAAAACTGCCCCCGTGGGGCTTCAGAAYGGATGGTTTACCAGTAAACTAGAGCTGTACAACCTCCAGCACAGTCTAAGCACAGAAACCATGGTGGTCATGGGGCTCTCCATAGCTGTTTCCTTTGTGGTGCTGCTGCTTACAACCTGGAACGTTCTCCTTAGCGTTTTCTCTGTTACTGCCATTGCAGGCACTGTCCTGGTAACCATTGGCCTTTTGGTCCTCTTGGAGTGGCAGCTCAATGCAGTGGAGTCTCTCTTCATTTCAGCCGCAGTAGGTCTTTCTGTTGACTTCACCGTCAACTACTGCATCTCYTACCACCTGTGCCCCCATTCTGACCGCCTGAGCCGAGTGGCCTTTTCCCTGAAGCAGATGAGCTGYGCCACAGCCATGGCAGCTTCTGCTCTTTTCTCTGCAGGGGTCATTATGTTGCCTGCCACRGTCCTGGCGTACAGGAAGCTGGGGATATTCGTCATGATGATCAATTGTATCAGCTGTGGGTTTGCCAGCTTCTTCTTCCAGTCGCTCTGCTGCTTCTTTGGCCCGGAAAAGAACTGCGGGCAGATCCTTTGGCCTTGTGCCCACACCATGAAAGACTACTCTGACRACTCTGGGCCCAACTTTGCCTGTGGGGGCAGTGACAAGCAAAACCGGTTGCGGAAGGTCCAGGAGTCCAACACTGCAAACGAGCAATACGAGCTCCAGCCCTTGTCCAGGAAACTCAGTGACAGTTTTGACAACAGCACCTCCACAAGCAAACTGTCTAACCGGCCCTCTGTGCTCTCTGAAGACATACAAGTTGAAGACAACAGATGCCCTCGAGTAGGAACGCAGCCCTCCCTGGAAAGAGAGAGACAGAGTCTGCAGGAGACCCTCGGAGACAAGCAGGTTGGCCTGTGCCAGTGTCCCGCCTTGCAAACTTCCTCTCCTTACAAGCACAGCACCTCAGAAACAGAAATTCACAGGGAGAGACTCTGCCGAGATTGTCACTGTCGAAAGTATGGTCTGAAAGCATGGGATGGGTCTGGGCTGGAYCACATCCAGCCAGCTGGCATGAAAGAAGAAGGGCAGCTCAATAAATCCCAGTGCTCCAGTGACACTGCCCAGCAGCAGTCAGATTATACCTCAGACCACAGCCCTCTCCCTGCTGCTGACATCTACAAAATTCACAGATGCCTTTGTTCTCTTGGCAGCTCTTTTGATATGCTCAACATCTCCAGCGAGACATCGATCAGCGACTTYGAGCAAGGCCTGAAGCTCGCTGAATCAGCCAGTTCCTGTCCAGATGCCTTAGAGCTGTCTGACTCCTACAGTAACGCAGAGCGAGGTTACCTGAACGGGAAGAGAGATACCCTGCGGCTGGACCTGAGGGAGACTGTCTTTGATGTCTCTCCAGCTGCATCACAGCAGAACGGCTCTTCATGGAAAAATCGGTTTGGATTGGGGAACGAAGGGCCGGTCGTGCTRCCCAACAGCCAACCTGACATGCCCGATGTTTGGATCAAACGATCTAGTGCACAAAGTTCCGGTTACAACAGCTGAGACCTTGCAGAAAGAAAAGCTGCTGCTAGGGAAAGGGGAAGCCTGAATGTCCTTAGAGCTGTAAATATCAATTTTTTCCTCCCACCTCTCCTAGAGCTGAGACTATTTCTTAGTATTTCAGCCGTGCAAAATGTGTGTTTTCACAGAACCAGCAGACCTGATGCCAGTGAGAGGACGTGACAGCCGTCTTGATGGACAAACCCTTTGACTTCCAGTGTCTGGTGCCRTGTTCACAGGTGTTCACAGGACTTATCGAGTAAACCTGGTTTGTCACYTCCTATAAGGTGATTAGCTTTTGTTTTCTTGAGAGAAATAATGAGGTGAAGCTCTCCAGGTATTTAATGACAGAGAAAGAGAACTCATGTGAAAAAAAAAAAAGGTCCAAAACTGAACTACTGAAAATCCTGACAATCTAGGTATCCAGTGAAGTGTATTGTTAATAAAAATTAAGTCTTTCATTTTTTATTTTATGCAAGGCSCAGGTCCACAGACCTCATCAAAATAGCTCAGATATTATAAARAGTCCCATTGAGACTTCCAAGTTGACACAGCCTCTTCCTGACCATGGAAGAGGCTGCAGAATCCAGCCCAAATCTATTTCTAATAACGACTTCAATTTGTTTTATCTGAATGAATTCTAATACTGCCAAAGATTTTCAGTGTGAATTTCCCCTTTGAGAAAAGAGTCCTCGTCCCCCCACCCCCGACTCAGGTGCCTTGTGTGCCCTCTTCGAAGTGTGTTTCCACTCAAGGCATTCCCCACAAACATGCAACTTTTTAAAATTCATGTATCTGGTGAATCTTGAATTTTAGAGTTTTTTTTCCCCCCCTCTACCAGAAACAAATAGGAAAACAAACATTTCCTTGCCCTTATTTGCTGGAAAATAAAACATTCTGTCTACAAGTTGACATACAATAAATGCTTATGACAAACTTTCCTAAAATCTGTGTGTTGCTTCATTTTCACCAAGACCACTGTGGTTATTCATCTTTTAAGTGTCTAATATTTTCCAAAGGGAAGTATGCATCTTTAAAATACTTCCTCTTCTGACACCCATGAGTTGTCCCTGTGCTGCGGGAGACAGATAGCAAGCAGTTCCCTGATATCCATTAGGAACATGGCAGAGTTTTAAGTATGTCAGATAYGTCAGTTTCGTGTTTTGGTATTTTTCACGTTTCAGTTTCACAGTTTTATCGTGAAATTGTCATAAGGGATGTTCATGTGGGTCTTTGGGCGGCCAAAGCCACCCTCAGGCTGGGACTGCAGCACCCTCCTCACGGAGCTGCTCCCATTGTTAGAGGGAGGGATTTCGGTCGGGATTTCCCACCCATTATGAGCAAACCCACCTACCATGTTGCGCAAACACTGCAAAAATGTCTTTAAGTCGGGAAACATTTGATACAGATTGCCTCATGGGAGGGCAATTTTAGTACCTCACACACCAGCGTCAGCACCAGCACCCTCACAGCTCTGACTCCTGCACGTCCGCACAGACGGCCACAAACCCCTCGATATTCGGGTTTCGAGTGCCCAAACCACAGAGGGAGGCGGTGAGAGGGCAGTAAAGGAAGGAAGGAACTGGGCTCCGCTTTGCCCTGAGGGCAGGAGCATCGCCCGGGACCGCCGCCCCCGTCACGGCCGCCAGCGCCTTCCCTGAGGGAGGGGGCGCGAGGCAGAAAACGGCGCGAGGCAGAAAACGGCGGGCAACGGACGGAGCGCGAGCCAGCGCGGGCGCGCGCCCCGCGCATGCGCGGATCCGCCCAACCGCCCCGCCGCGCGCGGTTCGAACTCCTGAGGGGAACGCAGCCGCCATGGTGGGACCGTCCTCCCGCATCCCCGTGCTCGCCCGGCCCCAGGGCTCCGAGCCGTCCGCAGGTAAGTGCGGGGCACGGAGTGACACCCGGTGGTCACGACTGGCGGGATTGGGCCGAGGGGTGCGGGGTGCGCCGGCGTTAGGGAGTTCAGTCGCTGCCTGGCTGCGTGGTGGGTGTTCCAAAATCTAATTAGAAGCTTTAAKTCACTGTTTTGTCCCTATTTAGAACTCAGTTAACTCTCAGCCTGCTGTGTGTACCCTCCGCCGGCTGAAGGCAACGGCCTTTTGATGTGAAAGATGCTTCCTTCACAGTCTCTTACTTTGCTAAATCTTTTAATTCTGCTTGCAGCACGTTGTAGCATTTTATATGAGTGAGGCCCCCAGGCTTAGCGTTAAAAACATGGGAAATGGGCTGCATCGGTGGAAACTCCGTGTTGCTCTAGTGTAAATATGCTCACGGGTGTGCCATTTGAAAAATACTTAATCTGGGGGATAAAGAGCAACTTCCTAAACCCAGTGAGTGAACAAAGTTTTACATACTCACACACTTGTGATTTCAGAGAAATAAACCGTATAAAAAGCTGGTTTTCAATGTTATTTTAGTAGCTATTCACTCATAGTGAAATATGGAGTCTCCTAACAGAGTGTCATGTGGGCTGTGATTGTTTTKCTTTTGGTATTGAACAACAACCTTGTGGCACAATGTTTGCTTGATACTGAGACCTTCTTTATTTTATATTATCATATCAAGCTCTCACTAGTGCTAGCCTGGTAATTGTTTACATCTGACCTATTTGTGGCTTATTCTGGACCCTTGATCCTGGGTAAAACTTGAGGAYTGCTCTTAGTTACTTCTACCTTAAAGCCTCCGTTCTAGCCAGATATAACTTATGTACCTCCAATTAAAGGCATGAGACCTTAATGAGAGTCTTTTCTAGGCTGTGGTATTCTCACAGTTGTCTTTTTCTCACAGAATCGCTAACGACTTCACATGCAAAGAGACAATGTGTCAGCAATACATCAGAGCCAGAGTTCAGCAAGGTTCCCAGTTCTGACTTTGCCTCAAACGTTCCAGTGGACGGTGCCTTCAAGGCTGCAAACCAAGGGTAAATCAGAGCAAAATATTGATGCATTTATTTGGCAGATATCCTAAGAATGGCTCATTTTGCAGATTCTGTCGAACTAACAGACTTGAAYGCAGTAGACTTCTGGTAACTGTATTTTTTCCCTCTTTTAAGAATGCCTAAGTGTGACAAGAAAGTGGAAGCGGTTTCGAAGAAGAAAGCAACAARATGGTACGTCCCTCCCATCTCTCTTAGTTGTCCCCCTGCCGTGATGTTCCCCCATGGAGGGTTGTGATGAGCTCTGACCCATGTGCARCTTTGCTGCTAAGTTTGCTCGTTAAATCTGTTGGTCACAAACCAAAAGCAAACACTTTAAAAAGGGCATATTTGTGAAATTAGAAGGTGTGCAGCGCTCCTATTTTTGCCCCTAAGTCTTTGCTCTTTGATTCTACAGCTTTGTCAGCAGATACCAMCTAGAAACAGAGCTGAAAAAGAAGAATCAGTTGGTGCAAACACTCAAACAACAGCTAGCAAGAGCAGAGGTAAGAGAGAAAAATAGATAAGTTGTTGAGTAATTTCTATATTCTGATCCATACAGGATCATGTTAAGGATTGTCTTGCTTGTTTTCTTTATCAGAATGTCTTTGTATTCTTCTGCAAGTTGTTTTCCCATCTGCTCAGCTCTGGGGAGGCCAAACTGGGAATATTTTGTCTGGTTCTAGGTCCCTGGTACAAAAGAGATATSGATGTACTAGTCAGAGTCCAGAGAAGATTGAGGGACTGGAGGAAAAGCTGAGAGAGCTGGGATTATYTGGGGGCTTCTGTTTCAAACAGATCTGACTTTGTAAAATCCAGTTTAGATTCAGAATTGGCATTTCACTGTTCCCTGACTCTCAGGCATAACTCTAGGATATGCTTAGTGCTACTTCTGTCACGTACAGAAGGCTCTCTTGGTATCCTATGGGTATAGAATCTCACTTTACTTTCCAATGCTCAATCTGTGGGATGGTAATTTCTCTTATCTCACAGTTTGATTTTCTTAAGAGCCTCTGAGATTTCCTGTGAAATGTTCCCAAAGCTTCTGACACTATCAGCCAGATACCCTAATCCACATGCTTATTGATCCTCTTGGAGAATTGCATTCAGCCTGGGAGGTTGATCAGCTTATCCAATTGCCTGGTAATACCTGGATTGTGTAGGGAATAATGCAATGACTTAAAGATATAAGACACCCTTTTCTTCACAATGTTTATGTGTTCCTCAGTGAGTACATTATTTATACAAATGAGAGGGAGCACAAGAAAAGATAGAGATGCTAAAAGGAATTCCTCCATGATCAAATTTTTCTAGTACTTGCTGTGATGTGTGGATGCGATAAAGGTATTAATCCTGTCAAGAAGGAGCAGCAAGGACCTGCAGCAGCCTAATTTGCTGTGGTGGTAGAGGCAGAAGGCAGGGTCTGATTCTTGGTGCCAGTGCAGCACTTGTCAAGTTGTCATTTTCAGTATTACTAAGGAGAAGAAAATCTTGGAAACTTGCCTCACTTACAACTTGTGTTAATGGCATGGCACTCAGCAGGAGATAAAGGAGATAAAGAAGGAGAATGAGAGGCTGGTCCAAGAAGGTGACAAGATCAAGAAGGTTCACGAAACATGCATTTGTGAAAGATGCAGGATTTCAGAAGGCATGAATATGGATCCTGGTAAGGAGTTTGCACTTTGCTTACATCCTGGTACTCCTCCTCCAGACCTTTCTTTTTCTTCTGTTGTGACTATTCATAAGAAATTTGGACTGTGCTTCCCTGTTARGGGAATACTGCTGGAATTCCRGGGTTTGGGGTTTTTTTAATGGCTTAAGAGAAAAAGCTACTTCTTGTAGTAGGCCCTGACCTGGATAAATTAACTTAGTATTTCTTGCTGTAGAAAGTTTGAAAAGCTGTTTGTTCTCAGGGTAATCTCCATATTCACTAATGCAGCTCCTGAATTTGTTACAGTCAGCACCAATCTGAAAGAGAATAACACCCAGGAGCTCCAAGAGCAGGCAATCGTAAGAAAAGCTTGAAATGGGCTTTGAGGGTCTGTGTGCCCCCTACCCTTTTCTTGTGATGCTGAAACAGCTGAGACTCACATTTATTTGCATAATTTTAAAAGTCATTTTCCTTTTGACTCTTCAGATGCTAACTGAAAAAGTGTTAGAAGAATTGGTGCTGTTTTTTCACACAGTTGCAAAAGAGAAGGAGATGCTTGAGGTAAGACTGATTCAACCAGGCAGTGAACACCAGGCACTCAGGGAGGTTATYTTGCTTCTCCCAATACTCCTCTTTTCTCCCATGACCCAGATGAAARCCTTCAGTATTCCTCTTTTCACGTGAACGCACATGTTAAAGAAACCGTGTTACTCCCCTTCTAAACAGGGATCCACCAGCCTGCATGTTATTCTGTAAGTCAGAGGATTTGATTTAAATCAGAAACTGTTGCAGAGCAGTGACCCTGGGTGATCTCTGGGGAAACCAAGGAATGGCCAAGCACGAGTGGCTTCAATAATTAACTGTATACAGAAATAGTCATTACAGTTCTATAATTCTTGATAAGAAGCCTGAGAGCTAAAATATAACTTATAGGAGACTTCCTATATCTTGGTCATAGATAAATGTACATTTTCKACAAGCAATCAAGGTAAAAGAAATCACAGACTTAGTTTAGGAGGAAGAACTCAGATGCTTTAGTTGGTGCAGGGTTAGGACTTGGCTTTGCTTTTCCTTACTCTGRTGTTAATGAAACGTGGTGTGCACTGACTTCACAGGCAATGATGGCCAACTGGAAATCTGCACAGGAGGAGAAGCTGCATACCCCGGATTAGTGCTCCTACATCCAAGCTCAAATTAAGGAATGGACAGCCACACTTGGAGCGCTGTGGAAGCGCCTGGCAATGTGAGGCACGAGGATGGACTGGTTTTTTTGCTGTTTCACCTCTAGTTCAGGGGTCTCTGTCAAACTTAGTTCCTGCATTTAGTCACCCAAACTCCGAGCTGGTCACTGCGAGGTGGGATAGAGACCGACAGGGAGCTGCGGCAGCAGCGATAGCCGGTTGGCTTTGTGTCGGGTGTTGGYTTTGTGGGGTGTTGGCCGCTCTGTTCCGGTCTCTGGTATTCGCGTRTTTAGCTCATTAAAAGTGCTGCAAGTACGGGGACTGAGCCGCGGCCGCGCCGGGGGGCGGGCGGCGGGGTGGGGCGCTCGGGGGCTGGGCCGCGCCTGCGCACGGGGAGTGACCGGGAGCGGCC